TACTCAAAATTCCTGCTACCAGTTCTCCAGAACTGGTCCACCTCTGATCCTCTCCCCTGTTGGATTTTCAATATGAATAATTAAGCATTCTTCTTTAAGAACTATTTGATGTAAAATATAGTTTAACTATTATACTTTTACAGAGTTTGGAGCCCTGGCTTTCTTTCACAATTGCTAAACTTACTTTGATCCTTATTCTCTGAAAAGAGGTCAATGGGCTTCTCTGCCTTATCTCCTCTACTAGACTCTCTCACAAATCCCCCGTTGCTATTTGTCTTCCCACTCAGTCACTTTTTCAATATGTGCTCTCATTTGCCTCTTCACTTCCCAATTAGTTTTTTACAGGGTTGACTACAGGAACTAAGTTAAGCCTACATTATCTGTCACAAGATCAGCTTCCTTGCAGGCTGCTAGGTATCATTCTACAACTGTGATTTCCAAATAACACAATAACTCCTGTGATGCCTCTATTCTACTTGTATTTTAAAAAGACAATTTTAGTTTCAAACTAAATTTAAAAGGAAAGTGGTATGCTGGAAGTTAAGCATTCCTTCCAACTGTTACTTTGGACATTCATGTGAAACAACTTTTTCTGACTAAGATATATGGGTCCCTCCTTTTTAATATCTACATGAAACCCCTGTGCAGATTATTCAGTGGCATGCAGTTAGACAATATGTAGTACAGGCATGCAGTATAGTAGGACAGGACATCATTTAAAGAATTCTAGAAGAAAAATGTGATAATATATATTCTAGTTTGAAAGTGGATAGTCTGGATTCAGAATAAGGGATTGAGTCATGCAGCAATAACTTCCAGTTTATAACTCAAACAAAGTCCATTACCTTGAGTGGCAGTTAGATATCTTTTATGAGCAACAAGGATCTTGTTTAAGGATAGAAATATTTGATCCTCATTATGCACACTACTAGAGTAATACATGATTTGCACAGTGAATTAACTGGGGATTGAAAAAAAGAAGGAAATAAAATAATTTAACTATTCAGAAAATACATGCAAGTATTTATTTCCAACCTGTGATGATTTCTTTTTATTAACTAAAAAAGGATTCCATCATTTTTTAAGGAACATGCAACCCACAACCAAATGTGGGAGTTTTAGCACATGCTAAAGAGTAAATATAAAATAAATAGTATCAAAGAATCAGATAATCAGAGTCTATGCTCACACAATATAAAAATCTAGACTTATCTTACTACGGCAGCAGTACACAACAAATACTTTGTCACTGGTGGCAATTGTTTTAATTTTTAACAACAAAGAATCATAGAAGCTTGTAGAGTTGCAAGAGACCAGATGTGTCATTTAATCCAACCCTGTGGTGATTCCATGAATGTTCCTATGATTTGTTGCTACATTTGTACATCAAACTGAAAATAAGTAGTGAGGCAGAAGTTGATGAGGTCCATAATTCTAGGTATTTTCATTTTAGTTTATTTGACTAGGTTGGATGTGTTTTGTACTTCTGCTGCCACCATATCAGGCACAAAGAATCAGGACCATTCATAGGGTTGCAGCATAGAAGATTTATTCAAGCCTATACACAAGAATATGATCAATTAAAGTTCAATTTCAAGCATTGGAAATCAAAAATCCAGATAGTTCAAATGAATATAATGGTTATTGCAATCTTATTTTCTCTACAAGAATCAGAACTATTAAAATCAATGCAAATTGGCAGTAGATAAGAATCAATGGAATTCAAGGTAGGCTGATCTTAGATCTCTTGTGGGCACAAAGGACTCAAGACTCATGATTTCTTTGACCCCTTCCTCGGGCTCAGCTTGGTCATCTTCTACAATGAACACTAAATTGGTGCCAGATAAAGGTCAACAGAATTCAGGTGGACTTGGAGTGCTTGTGAGAACACAAGGACTCTAAACTGATGACTATTTAACTCTGTCCTCCAGTACTGCCTGTTCTCCTACACATGGATTCTTTTGGTAGTTTTGTTCTGTGACATTGAATGAAACCATAATTTTACCTTCTTCTATTTTTAAACCTTTGATTTTCTGTAGTAAGAGTTGATAGAATATTCTTTGTGAGATGTCCATGGTTTTTTTGGAAGTTCTTTGGCAATTCTATTGGTTGTTTTTAACAGCTTGTCAGTAAGAATGTACTGTGGATTCCTATCAATATCTTTACTAAAAGCAAGATAAATTTCATGGGAAATGAGGAACCTATCACTATCTTTTCAACTCACTTCTTTTTGAATATATTTTTTGTCCACTGGAAGCGTTATGTTGTATGATTAGAGTTAACGCCAAGGGCATCTTTACACCCTTTTATAATATGAGGTGTGAAAATTACTGATAAGACAATGTTTTCCTAAAATGCATCCTTGGGACATTATCACACATCTCTCTCTCTCTCTTATCTGGCACTGCAGTTATGCACAAATGCATTAGTTTTCTGTGGAACTAGGATAGATGAGAAAGGGGATTCAGCTGACCATAAATGAAACTGAAAAATCAGCATTCCAGCAATCACCTCACTCTGCTTCTTTCTTGATTGCATCTGGATTCCAGAGAGAAAAAACATGTGATTATTTGGACAGAGTGAGGTGCTTGTTAAATTGCTCCTGGAGCTAGTCATATTATCTTGCTACCTGATGTTTCAGAAATTGTAAGGCAATATGGAATGAAACTCAATCAGGAGAGTGACAAGAATCAAATCACTTCTTAATAAGTAGCTGTCTGACTAGGGAAAACCAGACCTCTTTGGGACTAAATCAATTCCTTCTAAGCTAATTGAACAGCTTATTTTTCCATGTTGCAGTTTACATGACTTGTTTGACCTCAACCCCCAAGACTCATTACTCATTGAAGCAGATTATGTCAGATGATCTGATGAAAAGGGCATTTAAGCCATGAAGTCCAACTCTGGAATAGAGTTCCCCAATCTTTCTGGCTTTGTGGACTGACAGGAGAAAGAAGAGATGATTCTGCATGACTGGCGGGGAAGCACACATGCCACACAGCTTCATTTGTGCAAGTGTAGGGCTCGCACAAATGGAGCATGTGTGCAAGTGCTCACCTGCTGCCTGCACAAGTGGGGATGCACACTCATGCGCAGTCACCTACTACTTTCAGAGCCCAGTTCTAAATGATTCCTGGTAGTAGGCCACAGCCTGGGGGTTAGGGACCCCTGCTTTGGAATAGGTTGAACCCTTCTTCTTTGTGGCAGCCCTTTAAATATGGAAGACTATCACCCTAACCCTAGTCTTTTTTATATCAAATAGATATACCCAATCCTGCAACCATTCATGTTTTAGCCTTCGGTCCCCTAATCAACTTGCTCTTTTCTGCCCTCTTTCTAGTCTCAACATTTTTTATATTGTGGTGACCAAAACTCAATGCAATATTCCATTTGTAGTTTTATCAAGGCATTATAAAATGGTATTAACACTTTGTGTGGTGTTGATTCTATCCCTCTGTTAATGCAGTATAGGACTGCATTGTTTTTTTGGGCAGCTGCAGCACACTGCTGCCTCATATTTAAGTGATTGTCCACTAGACTCTAAGATCCCTCTAACAGTTACTACTATTGAGGCAGGTTCCTACTATTCCACAACTGTGCATTCGGTTTTACTTGCCTAAATGTTTATTTATTTAGAAATTTTTTATGGCCTTCCAACCCAGTGACATTGGGTGGCTTGCCAAACTAAAATCTCAATACAAAATAAATACTGCCCCACTCTGCCCTCCTTTCTCATCATATAGAGACCTGACCTCTTTGTTTAAAATCCCTTTACTTCCTCTCAGTATCAGTGTTGAAAATAATGGCATGGATTTGAGCTACAAATATTCTCCTTTATTGATACTTATGACATCCAACTATGTCTGAGCCTAAGGTGAGTTAAGCAATGCCACAAACTCCCTCCACAGTGCCTGGAGGCTCTTAAGGACTGGATAGAAAGCAACAGACTAAAACGCGAACCTTGGAGGGATGCAGTGGCTCTGAGTTTGGGGCTCGTTGGTCCATGCAGAATTGCACTGCCCCAAACAGACCCAGTGCATAACCTGGGAGCATGTAGCATGGCTGGAAGGGCCTTTGTGCAACTGAAGATTGTGTGTCAATTACACCCTTTCCTGGACCAACAGTCCCTGTTCAGTCATCCATGCCTATTCACCTCGCATCTTGATAACTGCAATATGGTCTCTATGGGGCTACCTTTTAAAAGTATCTGGAAACTTCAATTGGTTCAAATGGTGACAAAAGTGTAGGTTTGTATGTCACCTCACTCGTGGGAAATGCATTGGCTGCCAATTTGCTTCTTGGTCCTATTCAAGATGCTGATTATCACCTTTAAAGCCCTATATAGCCTGGAGCCAAGTTTTTTGAAGGTGTCTTTTTCCAAATATAACTAGCAAACCTGCAGGAGGCAGGATTTCGATGGGTCCTCTCTGCTAAGGAGGTCTATCTGGTGGGACCAAAAGGGGCCTTCTCCTTGGTGATTCCCTTACTGTTGAACATCATCCCTGTGGAAATAAGATTGGGCCCACTTTGATAGTTTCAAAAAGCCCCAAAGACATGTCAATGGGCCTGGGGACCCCAAATAATGCAGATCCAATCGAGATTTGTTTGACTGTTGTTGTCGGGAAGGCAGAGTGGGGCAGTATTTATTTTGTATTGATTTTAGTTCAAGCCACCCAATGTCACTGTGGGTTGGAAGGCCATATAAATTTTCTAAATAAATAAATAAAATCTTCAACAACTTTATGGAAAGAAATAATCCAATTATATGACCCATGACCTATGCAAATTTAAAAACTTTTGATTCGTTGTGTTTTAAAATTGTTCTTTTACAGTTTGAAAAGCAACATTGGTTTTAAAGAGAAAACAAGGAAGAGAGCCAGAATCTTATCTAAGAATCTCATCATTGTATTTCTTATTTCAACTGCAATAAGAAAAAACAATGTCAAAAGTCTTAACTCTTACACAAGCATTAAGTATACCAGACCACCCATATTGATTAAAACAAGTTTATTTCAAAAGATATATTTGTACTTCTAAATATCAAATATAAATTTCCCTATTATTTGTCTACAAGACATACTTGATCAAACAATATGATCTGATTAATTACGGAAAATTCATGATTCAGAGTAGTGATTCAAGAACAGTATGTACATAATTTTTAAAAAACAATGCAATTCTGAAAGTATTTAATACAATGAAATATTTTAATATGTTTTATTTACATTCTTTGATATATTAACATCTGGCTACCTACTATACCTATAAGGTAAAACAATATAATGCAATTATTTTTTGCAAAGCCCTGAGACATACATCTACTGATTCAAAATGAGAGAATCAAAGTCAGTGTAGAAGAATCCTACTCAGACCAAACATCAATTCAATCTTCTATCATTAGCCAAATGCCTTTGTGATTATCATAAACTAGGGATATGTGACTTCTATCAATCTGAGGATGACGCCACTCTTTATGTGGTGTATTGACTACTCTCCAGATTCAGAGTAGATGGATTTTATACTGTTTGGGGTTTTTAAATGGTGAAATAGCTTGTCTTTTAGAAACAACAGAACTGAAATCTTTGGGACCACAAAGTCACAAAAATCAGTTTTGGCACTCCTATTATATGCAAAAGATATGTAACTTTTAAAACAACCAGTATTCCAAATTATACTGAATCTTGAAATTCATATTCCTCTTCAATTCCTCTTGAGCATGATAAGAGGTATCATGCTCAATAGCTACTGACAATTCTGTCATCTACAAAGTCATAAAAGCCAGCGGCCATCAGTATCTACAGTGCAAATAATGAACTGTTGCATGTTGCTACATAATGAAAATAAAGTATTGTTTTTAAAAGTATTGCTATTAGAATATAACAGGTAATCCTAATTTATTTGATTGTTAGAAATTTTTTTACAAATGACAAAAAGAATATATATGACATATAATCAGCATCATTTTGATCAAACAGAGTTCATTTTTAAACTCTAATTGAATCTGTGTCATATTTCTGCTTATTTATTCTAATTGAATTCTTTATTTTTTGTTACAAACATGAATAATTTTATGTAATCTATAAACTAAGTTACCATCAGGAAATATTAATTGGAAAAAATTAATTTGAAAAAGAATGAACACAAGGCCAGCTTTATTTTTTAAAATCTTAATAAATTATTGCTGTAACCAATGAAAATACCATATCGACAATGTTTCTTTATAAATTGTTTTGAAAAGTGTTTCCCAAAAACAACTTAACAATTAAAAACTTTTTTAAAACTTTACTGAATTCTACACAGAATATCCCACTGTAAAAGGTTTAAATTATTAAAACTTTCATTACATTTAATTAACCATAACTACTCAAAATAACTATAAAGAATTACATAAAAAGAAAAAAAGTTAAAATATAAATGACTATTAGTAAATTTTTGCTATTCTTAAGAATACTTATATTGTATATCCATGATGGCGAACCTTTGGCATGCGTGCTGGAAGTGGCATGCAGAGCCATCTCTGCCAGCACGCAAGCCATCGCCCTAGATCAGGTCCATTGTGCATACATGCGCGCCTCCCACCAGCCAGCTTGTCAGGTACCTGCCGTGCATGCGCGGAGGCATAGGGCGCATGCAGGGGGTCGCGCGCACATGCGCTTGGGCACGGGGGTCGTGTACGCATTGCTTATGGGTACAGGCATGCGTGCATGCGCATGCACGCACTTTCAGCACATGACGACAAAAAGGTTAGCCATCACTGTTCTATATCATAAGCCACATCAAAATGTCTGTTCTTGTTATGTTATTCTTAATATTTGCTATACCCTGATGTGAAGATAATCCAATAAACAATACAGTACACTGAAATTGCTTTTGGGTAGAAATATGAAAGACTATAACTGTCAGTTTTGTTCTTGATATATTAATTTGCTTAATGGAATAATTCAAATGATTACAGAATGCTTTGTATGAAGTATTCTCATCTGTGAAGAACTGTTATTAACCCACTATATAATAGTGAACAAAATATTCTTGTTTCATAGAAACAACAAACATTTGCCTCCACTGGACAAATGGTCTATTTACAGTTACATGGGGGCTGCCTAACTGACAGCGAGTATGGGTCGTTTTTACTCATGGAGCTTAATAGACTGATGATCTCTGCTGACTTGTCTTGCCTTTTAAGATTCGTCTTATCTGAGAAAGAGGAAATAGAAGGGAAAAAGGCCAATTATTTAACAGCAGTTAATACAACATTACTTAAACCTGACAGTATGCAGTATGCAGTGCGTTTATGACTACGTTGCTTAGTAACGAATTCTGGCCCCATTTGATATTATAACCTGAGGACTAACTACAAAATCATGAGCACAATTGTAGTTTCACTTAGCAACCTCTTGGCTTAATGACCTAGTTGCTAGTCCCAATTGTAGTTGCTAAACAAGGACTACCCTGTATTATATTAACCTGAAGATAACATCAACAGACTGCTTATTGAATTGCTCACTGAATGGCTTCTGTAAGACATCAGATCTTAATTTTCAAGAGAACTATCCATAAAGAACAGAAATGGTTGACATACATATGTACCTAATTTATACTTTCTAGGTGCATGATGAGGAGCATCTATTTCCTTTTAAATAGTGCAGCTTATTGATTTATACATGCTGTATAATTTGAAATAGCTTTCCCCTAATGATACAAACTAGCCATTTAATGGAATAAACAAAAAAACCCTTCTTTAATTATAAAGGACACTCTAAAAGAAAAGTATGTTTGCAAAAACACTTTAGATTTGAAGCCCTGAAAAATAATTTTTCTATTTTTATAAAAAAAAAGTTAAGAAACTCAACATAAGGGATGTCTCCCTACTTTTGTAGTTTCATTTTATTCGAGAAGAAGACAAAAAAACTCATCAAAGAAAGCAACATTTTCAATCTGGTTTATTGCAAAGATATTATTTTTAAAAAAATCTAGGTGCACGTCTTTTCATTTTGTAACAGGACTATCATAGGAAAGAAAGAAAAAAGCATGAAGTGTGAAATGTACTTCACATAAAAACAAGATTTTGCATATCTTTTATCTCTTACCTCAACTCCAACAGGGCTATCAGGAACCAAGTGAACTGGCTGTTCATTTTCTAAGTTCCTGGCACTTGGATCAGCTCCTTTGCGCATCAACAAACGAACTGCATCAAGCTGAGTCATTCGATGCTGCAAACTAGCAGCTACATGGAGTGCAGTATTGCCGTTGTACGCCTAGTTACAAGAGAAAAACATCATTATTTAAAAGGACACGAGAAGCAAGTGAATTATTTCTGCAAATAGGAATACCCTAAAGTAGACACATGATTTGTTGTTTATATACCTTGGCATTGATGAAAGACAGACAATTTGGAAGCTCTAAAAACAGTCGAAGGAGTTCCACATTTGCTTCTTCAGCTGCTAGGTGAAGGGCTGAACGGCCACTTTTACGGTCCTGTTCATACACAAAAGAAAATGTCCAAATAATATTACACACTGCACATTTAGTCACTGTAAAATGTAAGAACATACACAATTAGTCGCTATAAATGAAATCCTAAAATTTACTTTGAGGGACCGTTTCTTGGTCCTTAAATAGTGGCATTATCTTTGAAATGTTACTGACTGAAGATGAACCTAATGATTAAACCAGATGAGCCCCAATGGCACAGTGTATTACAGGCTAAATTCTGCTCACTGCCAGGAGTTCGATCCTGACCAACTCAAGGTTGACTCACCCTTCCATCCTTCCCAGTTCAGTAAAAATGAGGATCCATATTATTAGGGGCAATAGGTTGACTCTGTAAACTTCTTAGAGAGTTCTGTAAAGCAGTGTATAAATCTAAGTGCTATTGTCTAAGTGCTAAAGAAGAAATTATATAGGAGTTAAGGAATTAGGAGGGTATTTTTTATGATCATTATTTGTTTCAGAAATAAAAATAAATATTTGTAGGTATAATATGATACGTGCAATATTAGTCAACCATTAACTCATTCATGTACTTTACCTATTATTCAGTATTGCTGCATTACAAGCTTGGATAGTAATCTGATTTATGAATACTGAGACTTTTTTTTTACACGCTAATGTGCTAGAGGAGAAAAAGCAAACTGAATTTTAAAATCAGTGTATGATTTCACTAATGTAAAAATAAAAGCTATTTTTTTGGATTAATACTGGTCACTTTATGTGCAATAATATACATTTAAAAATGTACAGAATATCTACCCAGGAACATAAAATGTCAAACTGAACTCTCAAATATAAAGAATTAATATTCTGTGCCTATGAATGTATCACATCACATGGCACATTCTTCTAAACATCTGTATCTTCAAACAGATGCAAAACAACAGTATGTGAATCATTTCTCAGGTAAATATCTGTCTGTTTCCTTATGTGACTTACTCTGGCTTCAACCGAGGCCCCCATCTGAATTAGATATTTGATTGTATCTGCCAACTTCTTGCTTTTCAACCTTAATTCCTGGACTTCAGGAGTATGAGGTGACTGCTGTCCTTGTAGTTCATGTACCACGGCATTATGAACCACTACTGCACAGTGCAACGCTGTCAAACCTTAATATGAAACGTATCAGTTAGCAAAACAAAAACCCAAATCACCTTGTTCTGATCAATAATGTATTAAAAAACAATAGTCATTCCAATAGGAATGTCTAAATTTCATTTCCATTTTGTTTGCAATGCATTAACTTTAAAGGAATTTTAATCTATGCTCTAGAGCCGTGATGGTGAAAGCTATGGCACAAGCCATTTGTGTCAGCACGCAAGCTGCAGGCAAACTTACCTCACTGCACATGCACGTGCCTCACAGCTGATTTTCAGCCAGTTTGGGGGCTTTCTCGGCCTCCCAGAGGAAGGAAGACTTCTGCAGGCTTTTCAGGACGAAAACTAGGCCCATTTCATCACTTCCTGTGATGAAATACCAGAAGTAATGAAATGGGCCTAGTTTTCAGACTGCAGAAGCCTTCGTGGAGCCTCTGGGAGGCCGAAAAAAACCTCAACCCGACCAAAAGTCAGCTGTGAGGCACAGTGCAGGTAAGGGGGTGGCGGGTAGATGGGCGGGGATTGTGCACACATGCATAGGGGGCACGCATTGCATTCTGGGTGCTGGCATGCAAGCGCGAGTGTGCAACCAGGCACACAATTTTGGGCACAGGAGCCCAAAAAGGTTAGTCACCACTGCTTTAGAGTTAGTGACATGCAATAGAGATAGAATTAGGAACTGGCAATTGAAGAAACACATGTATTTTTATTCATTTAACTTCACATTATTTGATAAGTTTGTCTATGAACAAAACTATAATTAAAAATATAGTTATAATCTATATCTAGATGGAAGTGAAAAATTATAGGTTTAAGTTCAAAGAAAAAATAAGTTAAATAAATTTTTGAATGCTATTTCTGTTTTTGTTATTTAACCCTGACAGTGATATGCCTTTTTTTACAATCTCGCCATCAGTCTTTCCCAATTTGGATAATCTCCAAATATGTAAACTTCAATTTCCAAAATACATGCACCTCTTCTACAGATATTATTTAACCAGCTTATCTAGCTTAATATAGCATTATCAACCGAGCATTATTAAGCTCAATGAATTAACAATGCATTAGACAAGGTAGAAGTGATTTAGTATGGGATTACATTTGAAGCTATTTCCATAATTTATTTTATTTAAAAGTGAATGGCATTAGCAAGAGTAAACGTGTTATACAACATGCCAAGTAAAAGTCTTGAGCATCAGCACTAAAACCTGAATGTTTTTAATTGGGTAGTTTATCCACTTAACACATAATGTAGGAGTATTAGTTGCTCACCCTCATAATTCGTTCCTTCCAAATCAACATATTGATTGCTTACAATGGCTCCTTTTTGGATTGCCTGAAAATGAAACGAGAACCTACATTAACTATATATGTAATAGTAACTGAAATCTGAAGGCATGAGATCAAATGTATATAATCCAGAAAAGTTTATGTCGTTACACATGTCAACAGAAAACAGCACTTTCAAACTAGACAATTTCTATTTGTGGTCCATTGTTCTTCAGTGCATTAGAATTACAATTCACAGGGACAAAAAAAAACTGACTATCACTTGAAACAAACAATTATAAAATAATCAAATATCTCCTCAGAATTGCAGAGACAATTGCTGAAATGTTCTTGTTTCCTCTTTTTTATTGTGTGTAGCAGGAGGAGGTTAGAAATGGAGAACATAATTTTTATGGGAGCCACACTGCATTATCATTCAGTCAGACTCCATTTGCAGGAAAGGAAGAAAATGCAAAATTATTTTTTTTTGTGTTTTAACATGGGGTTGGAAAGGTTATACTTATACTATAATGTATAAGTATAAGTATACTATAATTATATATTATAATGTATACCATAATGTTATATATTATGTTATATAAGTTATATATTATAATTTATACTATAATGTATTATAACACATTATAGACTTCAAACTCCTGAGCAATTAGGATCAAACTAGGTGGTAAAGTTCAGTTAAAACTATATTTCTGAATAATGTAAATAAACTTAACTGAAAATATACTATATTAAATCCTTAATGTACAATGAGAGGTGTTGAGGTATATTATACATGCTAATAAAAAGAAAAGGGTAAACGCAATGGTTCAGCTTTTAATATCCCACCTGAAGGACTTGTGCATGTCCCTTCTCAGCACATACATGCAGTGGAGTTCTACCCCAGCAATCCGTAGTATTCACTTGTGCCCCAAGGCTGACCAGATCCTGGACAATAAGGTGTTGATTTGCAGCCACAGCTACTTGCAGGGCACTCTAGAATAACAAAAAACAGATGCATTAGACACTTTAATCTTAACAAGGAATGGAAACTAAGAAAACAAACCACATAAAAGCCTTTTCAATGAAGTAAAACCATTTCAGAGAACCCCTCCTTAATGAAATCAGCTTGGTCTGATTTAGCAAATAATTCTGAAACAAATACATTGCACACTAACTTTCCAATTTCATATTAAAAGACAATCTAAATAGGACTTGGTAAGAAAATAAAGGAAATAATCATGGACATAAGGTAGGAATTTGCTAGGCTGAGAGAATCACCTGGCCATTGTGTTCTTTAATATCCAACATATGCAGGGCTGCCATCTTCCTTGCCAGCACATAGGAAACTGCCCGTCGTCCCTGGGCAACTGCAATGTGGAGAAATCTGTAGGAAAAAATAAAAATTAGCACAATATTTAAAGCTGACAAACATACCCATTTAAGATGTTTTAAAACTATGTTTCACTCTAAAAAGCCACTGAGAAAAGCCCTAGGGAAATTACTGACAGCAAAGACTTATTAGGGTAGTATTATCATCCAATGCATTCTTTCTTTTAATCATATTTAGTCATGGTGCCAGATGTAACAGAATAAAACAAATGGAAGGGATTTTGGAGGTCTCCTAGTCCAATCCTCTGCTCAAGCTAGAGACCTTATATCATTTCAGACAAATGGTTGCCCAATCTCTTCTTAAAAACCTCTCCAGCAAGGAAGCACCCACAACTTCTGAAGGCAAGCTGTTCCATTTATTTAATTATGCTGCCTGTCAGGAAATTATTCCTTATTTCTAAGTTGGTTCTCTCCCCTTGATTAGTTGCTATCCATTGCTTTTGTGCTGCCTTCAGGTGCTTTAGACAAAAGGTCAGGGTTTGTGGCAATCTTTGAGATATTGGAACAATGCTATCATGTCACCCCTAGTCCTTCCTTTCACTAAACTAGACATACTCGATTCCTGCAACCTTTCTTCATATGTTTTAGCCTTCAGTCCCCTAATCATCCTTGTTGCTCTTCTCTGCAGACATCAGAATCATTAATGTACTACAGAGCTTTTTGTTCAGTCAAATGAATGGCAGCCTAAAGGTGTCTAAACAAAGAATGCTGATTCACCATTTCCATTTCTGCAGTAAGTGATATTTGGACAATACTCACGTGTCACCATCAGAATCTTTAGCAAGAATCTGGTCTTGAGAGATGTTGGCCATTTTGTTTTCTTCCTGTTCCACTTGCCATTGGAAAAATGATTTGCCCAACTGACTTGTGCTGCCTGTACTGCTCTGAAGTTGCAGAGATATATCTGAAGAAGAGAGAGATAAACCATGTTCCTCAAGACCCCTGGATGTGTTATCTGAGACTTGGTTGAAATGCTGAGAGCAGCTGCTGACTTCAGTTTGCTGGAGGCCACTGGGAATTGCTTGAGGGAGTGGAGAAGAGATGTTGTCTGATCCTTCAGAATCATTTAAAAGTGAAGCAAAACTTTCTGTGGTACAATATGGTAGTTCTTGGCTGTCAAAAATGTTTTGTTGATATTCAGAGGAATGGCTGCCTGCAGAGTGAGGCCTATATTCCAGCAATGGAATACAATGCTGGGGCATATCCTGTTGTTGTTGTTGTTGTTGTTGATGTATAGGAGAAAATTGATAATTCTGGGACAGTTCCAGCATTGGAGAAGAGCTGCTTGTTTGGAAAGCCTGGTATTTTTGAACATTTGAAAAAGCTGGTGCTCCAGCCATCTCTTGATATTGGTGTTCCCCTGGAGAGTTGGGATTGACCATACTGTGAAGCCAGCTAACTTGTACAGTGTTCAAAGACACTGGGCTGGATTCATTCTTAATATTGATAATATTCTGCAGCATATCACAGCTGCTATCTTGCTTAGGCTCATTATTATGGGGATCCTCCATATTATTATCCACAGAAGTTGGTGTCTGCGGAGGTGTCTGCAAGATAAGAGGTACAAATTTTAAACTGATCTGATTGCATCTTGCCTTAGAAGACAGTTGGAAGCTGTATAGCAATGTGAGAATGAGCATGAAAAACTTCATTAAAAATACTTACCAAGAACTGAGGTTGCAAAATAGCTGCTCGTTTGTAATACACTCCATCAGAAAGACAGTCTGGCGCTTTTCTTTTCCGATTATGAGTCAATATATTTTTTAGTTCTACTGAAAAATAAGCAGAATTCATAAGTCTATGGCACACCCCATTTTTCTAATATTTAAAGATAAACTCAAGGAACAAATGAAACAAAAAACTGTACCTGTGTATGGATCATGTTTCATCAATGTTCCTTGTGCCTATTTAAAAAGAAAAAGAAAATGCTTTTATATAATTAAAGTACTCTATTTTATCATGAGAATATTACAGAAATATAAGTACCGTATTTATCGGCGTATAACACGCACTTTTTCCCCCTGAAAATAGGGGGCAAATGATGTATGCGTGTTATACGCCGATGTCCAGGGAGCGGAATCCTCTTTAAAGGATCCCGTTCCCAATAGTGCCTAGCGGCGGCGCAGCGTCGTGACGTGATGTCAGCGCTGCGCCCGCCGCATATTTTTTTCCTGAAATTTCCCTCTTAAAGGGAATGTGTGTTATACGCCTGTGCGTGTTATACGCCGATAAATACGGTATACCTTATGAACTTTTTTCCAGAAAAAACCAAAAAATTTATTATATTTTTTTTCCAATAATTACATTTTACTATCTTCAAACATTTTTCTCATTCTACGGTATTGATTTCAAATTAATGGAAGGCTATTTTAAATATTTTGTACAATTCATTAATTCTAACACTTAAGCAATGCCCAGCATTTGTGGAATTAATAATACAAAGAAAATGCTTTGGATAACAGAACTCCGTAGAGGCTGAAAATGTTCTGTTATAGAAGGCTAAGTCATGGCTAAGACAATACTTGTTACTTAGTTTTAACTTGGTTTTTTATATTGTTCAAAATTGCTGGTCCTTCTATAGAAAAGAGAGCTCATCTATGCAGAAAAAAGAAAACTTTGAATAAGAAATCCCAAAATATTCTAATAAAGTTTGAAATATTCAATGCCACAGAATTCTGAACAGTTATTGTTAAGAATAGAAACATCTGGAAGAAAAATATATTTGCAATCTGGAATGAGATTATTGTGTTGCAAATGCTACCTATTCTAAATTCAATTAAAACTCTAAGTCACTTCCCACTTTTAGACAGAATAAAGAATGAGTGTTATTTAACAACAGTGGGAATTACCAATAAAAATATTGAATTAGCGACTTGAGCAAATGCATGCTTTGCATTTTCCTATTAAAAAAAAGAATGATCCATTTTTAGATATAATTTGCAATTCTCTTTCACTGACAAAGCATTTTTTTAAATTGTATGTTTGTTTTTTAAAGGCCATAGAAGCTATTATATTTCATTAAAATAAAGATGTTAATTATCTTCTATATAAAATTGCTACCAGTATTGTATTCATACATAAAATTCTTGTTTCGATTCTGAACAGTACTATGAAAACATACAACACAGACCTTTAATTCCTCAGTTCCATAATCTGTGGACATCTGCTTGCTATTTCTAAGATGCAACAACAATTCTTTCACGGAATTTTTTACACGAACACCTTGGAAAGGTCCTCTCTGTTGCTTTCCTCCCCCCATATGTTGTTCAGCTGTTAAGACACAAAATTAAAATAAAAGCATGATACAAACAGAAGATTTAAAAGAAAAGGAGAATTCTTATAAATTCATCCTAAACAAGAAACAACTAATTACTAATTAATATTTCAATTAGATTTTTCCCCTAAAGATGAATCAAAATAGTAACTCCCCCCTCCCAAAAATCTTTCTCCCAAATCCAGATATTCTAAAATATTGAGTTGTGATTATCAAAGGATTCATAAGCAACTTAGAGAATCCATTCCCCCGCCAAAAAGTTTTCCAGGGTTCTGCAGGCAAGGCAAGAAAGTCATAATTCACATCACTTTGCCTGGGCGAGCTTTCAGTGGGCTTATACAAGCAACACAGGGATAAAAGCCTGGAACAAGTTTTGACAGATAAACCCATGCGTTTAGCCATCTTCATGGGGATGTTATACAAAATCATTTATAATTTATAATTAGTAGTATTGCAAAGATGGAGAAATCAGAAAGCCGTGAGTTCTAGTCCTGCCTTAGGCACAAAGCTTTTGAAAAACCTTGCAAGCAAATGGCAGGGACTTGGACTTAAGTAGGCAGTCTCCAAGAAATAAACACAACTGAATAGAAAGGGGAAAAAAGATGGAGAACCCCTACATAGTATTTTAATAAGAATGGAGAAATTCCTACTCAAAACCATTAAGCATTAACTTTATATAAATAGAGTTCAATATTACTTGCATAAGTCCCCTCCATAGTTTAACTGCTTATCAAAAATATGTTCTTCCATAAGATTAGCTGCAAATATTTTATTCACCCTCTTAATGACATCAACCCTTTAAATACAATGTATTTTGAAGCATAAAAAACAGAAGTGAAAAGAGGAAGAATAATGCATATCAACCCAAGAGAGAAGTGGTGAGCTAATTTTAAAAAGTACAAATCAGATATTCTACATAGTCTACCTATTATTTAAATTTAAAAAAAAAACTACATTCCCACAGATTTGAACTTTCTGGATAGGAAAAGCAACCCCAACTTAAAAATAATTTCCCCTTTAGAAGTTTTAATAGAATTTCCCTCATCCCATCAAAAGAAAACCAGAAGTATCTGAACATGTCTTTAAGGATTCAATTTCAGAGCACACACACAAAAAATCAAGAATCAAAGTAAGATGAAATATTTCAGTCAATAAGCAAGCTTCATAAAATATAAGGTAATATGAAATACAAAATCAAATGACAATGGCAGCAGCAAAATTAATTGGCAGCAAAAAAGTTAATTGGTGAAGGAATTAATATATCTTTGTAGCTTTTCAAAATAGACTAACTTTAATATAACTCTTGTACAAAAGGTTAAAAAAATTGTGACTACATTGAAAATTTCACTATTTCCCAAATTATTTTAAAGGAAGAAAAGCTTTGCTCAAAGAATCAGATTTCATTTGTCACTGTTCAAATTACCCATAAATGTTCTCAGTTGCATGCCACAATTTATATCATAAGCATAAAAATTAGAAGTAACGTCAGCAACAGTCTCTTCTAATTCAAAGTTTTAGTCTTGAAATAGGAAAGATAAGCATTGTTTAAAAAGCTGTCTATCTCTCTCTATATATTTGGCACAGTTTTAGTCATATTGGGCTCTATAGAACAAATAGATAAAAGTGAAATATTTCCACTGAAAGCAAAGCTTTCACTTTTCACAAAGTGACATTGTATCCCAATGTCAGAATATAATTTCTTATATATACTTTTTCTAACTGTATTATTAATTGTACAAAATTTATAATTCCTTTTTTATAGTAAAATTCCAATCAACTTTTTCTAAAAAGCATATAATCTTATTTGCTTGCTGCTTATGCTTTCATCGGTAAAAATTAATTATCAAGATATGCTAAAAATGATATAGGTAAGTATATTCCAAACTCTACTTTTAGCAAATGTAAATCAATAAACAATTTACAGAAAATTCACTGGGGGTACAGTACCCAATAAATCATTTTTCATTTTCAATATAATAATATATTAAAATAGTATCCAATATCTGAAATTGCTGGCAAATTTAAATCCACAAATTTAGCTCAATATCAACATTTTTTTTCCATTTTCTCTTTACAACAGCCATAAATGTCATGCAGCCAGAAAAGGAGACAGAGCTAATTCCATAACTTTAAATGGTTCCGTGAAAGAAGCCAAGCAATTTTAGAGGCTAAAGCTAGTCTTGGAATGCACTTACCAATAAAGGGAATCCAGAACATTTAGTATATATAGCGTTATCCATTACATCCAAAATACTTTAAGTATTTTAATGCTTAAAAATTAACTATTTGGAACATTATTCAATTATTAGTTAATCCATCCATTTTTCTAACATGTTCATACCCAGTGAAATATATGATCTTACTTATATATAATTTTAGAGACTTGTAGGCAAAACATTATGCAAAGTAGACTTACTTCACTGATATATAGGTACATGTGCCATGGACAGGGGAAACAGGCACTTTTAGATAGGCAGCTGCATAGATGGCGATAGGCAACACCCCAAAACCAAGACATCCTTCCTTGTGAACATCCTACTAAATAGCTTATCCAAGGCCACTTTTAACTAGCTTATAAAGGAAGCTTGTATCGTGTTAGTCAAGGCCATCAGACCTATTTTCCACAGGAATTACGAACTTGAACAAGTGTTTGATAAAGGTGGGGCAACCGTGACCTGGATGACTGACAATCTCCACAGACATATCGATGCAAACGAGTGCACGCACTCACCACGACAAAAGGGGCAGAACATTATATGAACGGCCTTCCCTAACCCGTCAGAATGCGTTGCACTACTATTCCCATGACTTCCAAGGCGATTAGGAACTGTAGACCAACGTAACTGAACGGCTACATTGAGATTGGTTGGTGGGACAGTCATCCATCAACCAGACCGAAAACCTTTGGAGGATGAGCCTAACCCAGCCGGAGCAGCGAGCGTCGCTTTTGCGAAAGCCGGAGTAAACGCGCTCCACCCAAAACTTATTTCACGTGTGTCTGTCTGTACCTTCTCCAGTCGGGCGCGCGGCGTTCCGGGAATAGCGCCTTTTCCTCAAGTAGATGCCGCCGGTGCCGCCATTGGCCGAGGGCTCCGAGTCAGAGCCGGGGGATCCCGGAGCGGAGGGAGTGGGCGAGCAACTGCCTTCGCTAGAGCGAGGGGAAGCTCCATAGAAAAAGGCCAAATTGAACGGGCTGCTCAGAGAGCCAGAATCGCCATCTAACCCCGCGTCCCGACTGTTATCCACAATCATGGCCGGGGTCGCGCAGGAGCTGCCAGACGAACAGGAGACAGAAACCGGCGCGAGCAGCTGAGCCCAAAGCCAACGCCTTGGCCTCAGCAGACCGAGTGAAACGTCGAGAAGGCGGAGGCGGGCGCGGCAGCTCTTATAGCGGTCTGCAAAGTGGAGGTGCAGGGGGAGGGGGAGAAGGAGGAGAGGAAGGCAGGGCAAAGCTCTCTGACCGCCCGAGGGCCAAGTTGGGTGCGGCTGGTGGAGAAGCGGCAGTTCCAGTAAATGTATTGCGTAGGTTTTGTCAACAGCGTTTGGTTGTCTCGTGACCTGGTATCTTAGGAAACCTGGGGTGAGCTTGGCCCGAAGCGGAGTCCGCGGACTGAAGGGCAGGCGGGATAAAGGCTTCCAGCGGCGGAGCCATTTAGCCAAGGCCGAGTCTGATTTTCTTTTGCATTAAATTGGCCAGCGTTTGTCCTCTCTGTCGGCTTCTAAATAAACGAACGGCAGCTCAAACTTGCCACTTCTTAATTAAGAGTTCTAAAAAAACAGAAGGAGCAGTAACTTTGACCTTCTGGATTGTTACAGCGGACAGAAGAAAAAGATCCGTTTGGCAGATCTGGTTGTTAACCGAAACGGAATCGGATAAAAATGCCCCCCCTCCCCCAGTCCCAAAGGGACGACAACCTCTAGTCTTGTTCAGACCGGGAAGAACAGCAGTAGACGCTTCGAAACAAGATTCCCGTTGGAAACACGGGAATAGCGCTCATCTTTTGTAATGGCTTTTTAACTTTTTGCCATAAATTACTAATCAGAAATTCCTGGTTTCCTGTGGGCCTGTTTATGAGCCCCACCTTGCCTCGAAGAAGGCCGAGTTCCTGTATAATGCTAAGCTACACTTGACTGAACCATGGAGGGCAGGCTTCCTATATTTTCAAGAAGTTGAAATTGGGACAAAGATCGTGATTCAGTGGGCATGTGCTGGCAAAGGCATGCTTTCAGGCCTTGGTATTCCTTTGTTTGGGCAGAATCTATGCCTCCTATTTTCTGGGGCTTTTCTCTAAACTGGTGGTGGTGCCAAGTACTTGTGCCCATATCAGCTTATTGAATAAACTGCAATTAGTTGGGTTCTTATCACATGCTATGGCAAAATCAAATTAATCTTGTCACAGTTCAGCACAGTTTGTTGGTATAGCAGGCCATTAGCTATAGTCTGGCAATAGTTTTTTAATCCCCAGAATCCTGGCATGTCTCTTCTACTTGCCTGAAGTGTGTCCCTTGCAAAAGTTATTATCAACTATTATTAAAATGTGCTTGTATAATTATATTTCACTGCCACTTTGCCTTTAAGTTGCTTGCCATCATTGTCCTGCTATGTGTGATTTTACAACACATGTAAAGAAGGGGTTTACTTAAATCTCAGTTATGATTTGAGATGTCTAACCAAGTCTTCCAAATACCCACTGTGGTATTTTCTTTCTTTTAGAAAACGGATTTGTCCTTTCTGGTACACAGTAAGAAAGAAATGTGATTCCATTGCTAAGATAACAGGATGATTTTCAAAGATGTAAATCCCCAGTGTGTACTCTGACAACTTGGAAAGGCAGCCTATATAATTGATTTAGCTCATACAATATTAAAAAAAAAATCTTGTGTTCTGCTCAAAAAGGAGGCAGGGGATGAATAGTGCAACCAAGATTTCTTTTTTCCAGAAAGGCACAATATGATCATTATTTAAGTTAGAGCAATGTATCGTATGGTAGAACCCTTTATTGCTGTCCCTGGAACCCTCAATGGTAACTAGAAACTTCTCAGCATGATTTCCTATAATTTTGAAGCAGTAAATCTTCAAAAACAAGTTAACATATTTTTTATAAAAAAAACCTCAAAACTTAAAAGTCCTTACTTAAAAGTAAGTAGAAATCCTGACCCTCTCTATATATGTGAGATATGATTATAAAAAGATTGCATGTCAACATTTTTGCAACTAGGCACTTTTCCCAGTAGCTATAATTGTGTAGTTATGTAGTGTTGCAGGGAAAGAAAAAGGAGATACATTCTAAACCATGCCTTCAGACGTACACCAGGAAAAAATGTATTTTTCAAGATTTATAAATGACGTCATGCCAGGGTTTAGGCAGTGTCCAAAATCAAACTGATAAAAAATGCTGTAAGCAATGCAGGCAATAAAGATATGGCACTTCCTTTACCCGTTTAATCATTCAAAAGCTTTCCAGAAAAACAAGACTTTAACTACAGCGTTCTCTAAAACAGTGTTTCTCAACTTAACTTTATATAGACCAACTCCCAGAATTCCCTATCTATATTGGCTGGGAATTTTGGGATTTAAAATCTACCGTACATATGAAAGTTGTCAAAGTTGAGAAACCTTCTTCTACAAGGCCATAAGGCTAGAGCTTGGTCTTTTCAGGGGCAGGCTGTTCCAAAGGAACACAATAACAAAACTGATGAAGTGAATCAATAGTTCCCACCAATGGAAAACAGCAATTTTACTATGCAACAAACTCCAATTTTGCTCCCGTTTCAGGCAGACAACTGAAAATGAAAATTATCCAGTTGCCAAAATCAAATGTTATAAGGTAAATCCAGAAGCGAGAATAAAATCAAAAATTGTACTTTTAAATGCCACTATTAGTGTTACAGCCTAAATTGCTCAATATACCTAGTAAAAATCATTAGTATGATTTGTGTTTACTTCACGATTCACATGTGTGGAACCAACTCTTGGCTTTGAGTTATCTTTTCCATCATTCCACTTGATTATAAACTTGAAATATCAAAACCTGAAAATGTAAGAATAATAAATAATAAAGACTTAATTTATAACATAATTTATGAATGTATGTAATTTTTGAACAGGTTTCTAAAGCTTTGTATCTGATAGTACATGTCATGTCATGGCCCTAAACCAGGGGTCCCCAAACTTAGCAACTTCAAGACTTGTGGACTTCAACTTTCAGAATTCTTCAGCCAGCTTTGCTGGCTGAGGAATTCTGGAAGTTGAAGTCCACAAGTCTTAAAGTTGCCAAGTTTGGAGACCTCTGCCCTAAACAATATAAACCTGGGTGGAAAAGTGAATGCAAATTCTTCAATTGAAGTGATCTCAAAAAAAAAATGCCTTAAACTAAAAAATCCTATCCACCACCACGAATGAAGCAGAAAACCCTGACCCATTTCACATGCATTATGTGACCTCCTGGTAACCATCATCAGAGCTAATCTTCCCCTGCCCTATCCCAAACTATTAACTCCAAACTTGCTTATTACAAGTTGTTTAAAAATAATAACTGTGTACACCAGTTATGCTCCTTCTTGGGTCAGGAGTCCCTGCTCTCAATCATTTAATCCATGATCATGTTACACCTGGACTACTGCAATGTGCTCTGCATAGGATTACCCTTGAAGAGCATTCAGAAGCTTCAACTGGAAAAAAAATGAAATTCAACATAGAGAAAAGTAAAGTCCTACACTTAAGCAAGAAAAACCAAAAGTACACATATATAGACTGGGTGAAACCAGGCTCAACAGCAGTAACTGTGAGAGGGATCTTGGAGTCTTAGTGGACAACCAGCTAAATATGAGCCAGCAGTGTGCAGCAGCAGCCAAAAAAGCTAATGCAATCCTAAATTGTATTAACAGAGGGATACAATCAAGATCAAGGGAAGTACTAATACCACTCTATAAAGCCTTAGTAAGACCACGCCTAGAGTACTGCATCCAGTTTTGGTCACCACATTATAAAAAAGATGTTGAGACTCTAGAAAAAGTACAGAGAAGAGCAACCAGGGTGATTAGGGGTCTGGAGGCTAAAACGTACAACAAACGGTTGTAGGAACTGGGCTTGGCTAGTCTAGTAAAGAGAAGGACCAGGGGAGACATGATAGCAGTCTTCCAATATTTGAGGGACTGCCACAGGGAGGAAGGGGTCAAGCTATTTTCTAAAGCTCCTGTAGGCCAGAGAAGGAATAATGGATGGAAACTGAACAAGGAGAGATTTAACCTGGAAACAAGGAGAAACTTTCTGACAGTGAGAACAATCAACCAATGGAACAGCTTGCCCTTGGAAGTTGTGGGAGCACCATCAGTTGAGACCTTCAAGAAGAGATTGGACTGCCATTTGTCAGAAATGGTGTAGGGTCTCCCGCTTGGGCGGGGGGTTGGACTAGATGACTTACAAGGTCCCTTTCAACTCTGATTATCTGTATCTGGTGCACAATGTCCGAGCAGTCCTTGAGGACCCTAGAGTCGTCCATGTTACGCCGTTGTGCAAGTTGCACTGGCTGCTGGTTTGCTTCCAAGTGCAATCCAAAGTATCGGTTATCACCTTTAAAGCCTTGCATGGTGTGGGTTCAGGCTACCTGAAGAATCATCTCACCCCAATGGGACTGCCCTGCCCAGTCATGCCAGCAGAAGAGACATGCTGCAGACCCCATCAGTCAAGGAATTCCAGTGGGCAGGGTCCAGGAGGACAGCCTTCTCTACCATGGCTCTTATCTTTTGGAACATCTGCCCCTCCCCCCTGGAAGTAATCCGCTCCCATCCCTCTGACTTTCCATAAGGTCCAAGGAAAGAGTATCATAGAGGAGGGGGTTGATGCACCAATAGAAGATCTCATTCCCCCACCTATTCTGCTCTCTCCTCCCCATCTTGCAATTATAATTTATATTTTATTGTTGTTAGAAATATTTTTATGGTTTTATTGTTGTTAATGTTGTAAGCCACCCAGAGTTCGCTTGGGCAACGTAGACAGCAAACAAATTAATAAATCAAAACAATAGGATTTTTAGTATTGAATTAAATCACTAAATACTTGATTATCATAATTATAGTCACAAAATTTATTTAACTATAGCTACTTTGGCATTTTTATAAAGTATGGACATACTTTATTGCTTAGGTCTCACTTTAGGTATCAATTTTTTTAAAAAGGACTTCATTCAACACAGCATGTCATGGCTTATCTTTCAGTATCATCAGGCTATAGCTTGATTCAGCAACTTTAGGTAAGGTAGAATTTCTTCATCTTAATACTTTATTTCTTAGTTCCATATTTTATGATGCAGGGTACCAGCCAGTATTGTAATGTTGGGTGGATAATTAAAATAATATACAGAAAATACCT